GTTTCTACTGTTGTTGAGCATGACGACGATTTTGTCGATGCTAATGATAATGTTTCCACTGATGCTAAGGATGATGAAGTTGATGAGCATCGTGATGCTGCTGATGATGAGGATACGGATGTTGATAGAGATTATGAGATTTTAATAATGATGTTGTTGCTACTGATGTTGCTGTTAATGAAACTGCTGAAGCTGATGATGATGCTTGTGTTGTTGAGCATAGCTATACTTCTGCTGAGGTCCCTAATGATTATGATTATTATTATGGTGAGAATCGTTATGATGCTGCTGATGCTGATAATGATAATGCTGATGTTTCTGATGATGATGATGATGATGATGATGATGTTAATAATGATGTCTACGCTGTCGATTTCAATGTTAATGTTTCTACTGTTGTTGAGCATGACGACGATTTTGTCGATGTCAATGATAATGTTTCCACTGATGCCAAGGATGATGAAGTTGATGAGCATCGTGATGATGCTGATAAAGATTATGATGATTTTAATAATGATGTCGTTGCTACTGATGTTGCTTTTAATGCTACTGCTGAGGCTGATGATGATGCTTGTGTTGTTGAGCATAGCGATACTACTGCTGAGGTCGCTAATGATTATTATTATAATTATGTTGATAATCGTGATGCTGCTGCTGCTGCTGATAATGATAATGCTGATGTTTCTGATGATGATGATGATGATGATGATGTTAATAATGATGTCTACGCTGCCGATTTCAATGTTAATGTTTCTACTGTTGTTGAGCATGACGACCATTTTGTCGATGCTAATGATAATGTTTCCACTGATGCTAAGGATGATGGAGTAGATGAGCATCGTGATGTTGCTGAGGATGAGGATAAGGAGGCTGATAGAGATTATGATGATTTTAATAATGATGTCGTTGCTACTGATGTTGCTTTTAATGCTACTGCTGAGGCTGATGATGATGCTTGTGTTGTTGAGCATAGCGATACTACTGCTGAGGTGGCTAATGATTATTATTATAATTATGGTGAGAATCGTGATGATAATGCTGATGTTTCTGATGATGATGATGATGATGATGACGGAGAGTGCCCTTAACCAGCAAGGCGGCGATTTAAAACCCACTTTTCGGCTTTGGTGTGAGAAAGGCTTTTTGGCGAGGATGACGCAGGCCTTTGCTTCAATTAATCTATCGGCTGAACTCCCCACCATTCGCCTCAATAAAATGCGACAAATGGTCTGTCTCGTCAACACTCCGATTCCCGATGGTCATGGCCGCTGAGTGCCGCGAGTTTTATGGTCCGCTTCAGTTGTGCAGCCAAGACCCAATTGGCCTCAGGACACAGGGATTTGCGATTTTCCCAAAGTCGGCCCACTTTCAATGTCTCCTTCAAGTAAAGCATAATAGACGGAGATTTTGGTGGCCAAATTCATCTTCTGTTTATAGAGATTGATAAAAGTGGTGGTATCCTTGTTGCCTAGGCCTGCGTCCATATGGAAAGTAATCTTTGTGAACATGCATTCTCGGCATTCATGCACACACATGAGGGTCCATACACACGTTTGGCACTTGAAACACACAAAGTCAAATTGGCGTGTGTGCTTGTGTTCGGCCAGCACTCCACAAAGCCACGTACACAGCCCTCTTTGTGTGCATGTGCACTAGGGCAAGCATGCACACTCGTCTTGGGGCAACCATGCTAATGGATTGAATCTGGTCCGCAAAAGGGGCCGAGGATTTTGGTTGACCGAATCTCAATCTAAGCCGGTCACATTCTTTATTTTCTCTCAGCAATCGGGCTTAAGGCACATCAGAAGCCGACGATGTACAGAAATAGAATTCCATTGCCTACAGGTCGCGTAAGATGATGAAGCATTGATAGGTGGACTTTCTCCATGACGACTCAAGTAAGTCCCTCAGTCTTGCTTGCAAAAAATGTAATTTCATCTCTCATAGCATTTTGGGAAAAATGCAACTATCACTTCCTCCTCATCTTGCACGACCTGGACCGAATGTGGCGCTTTTGCTTCGTCTATCCAGTGCTATGTCAAATAAGGGTTTGCTTCATCGACAATCCCACTGCAGAATGTGCTATGGGATAATGCCTGACCTTGCTGGGAATTCACATCTGCCCCGTCACCCAAGGACACTGGTGACAATGTGGCCGAGTGGTCAAAGTGGCGAGAATACACGCAGCGGGGCTATAGTTCGAACCCCGTTGCGGGTACTGACAAGATCCACTTGAGGCTATGTGGAATTCAGTGGAAACGTCAGGCCAACTCATGTCATTGTGGGAAAATTCTACAACCAGTCTTTATGACCTTCAACGAAATAGGGTGAATACATCTCGTATGAATGGAACGGTTGTTCAAGATTTACTGGTACTTCAAATAATAGTCAAAACGGATTCAGAGAACGGCGGGTTTGCTCTTTGCGCCTGTATGTATGTATGTATGTATGTAAGTATGTATGTATGTATGTGTGTATGTGTGTATGTGTGTATGTGTGTATGTATGTATGTATGTATGTATGTATGTATGTATGTATGTATG